TCCTGATGATCATTTGCATGCTTTCTACTCTTGCATGCAAGCTCAGAACGCCTCTGACGCGTTAATGTGCAAAATCTTCCCCTCTACTCTCCAAGGTAATGCCCGAACTTGGTATTACAGTTTACCTCCGAGGTCAATTAGCTCTTATACAGAAATGGCATCTGCCTTTGCCACTAAGTTTTCCAGTAGAAAGTTGATCAGGAAAACTACTTCTGAGCTGATGCGAGTTAAACAGAGGGATGGAGAATCTCTGAAGAACTATATGAGCAGGTTCAATGATGCAATTTTAGAGGTTAGTTCCTTTGATCAAGCTGTGGGAATTGCAGCTGTGATCTCCGGTCTCAAGCATGACAGGTTCAGAGATAGTTTGATCAAACATGTTGCCACCACCTTTAGCGAGGTGAACGATAGGTCTCTGAAATTTATAACTGCTGAGGAGTATGCCCTGGCGCAAAACCCACCTCCCTCTAAGAACCAGCACCTATAATGGAGAGATGACAATCCGAGCAGGAAAAGGATGAGGATGGCGCAGAACCGAGGTCCGATGTTAACCTCCCCACCGAGATTCGGAAGGCCGAACTCAACATCCCCACAACAATCTGCAGGTAAACCTCCAGTTAATTGGACTCCCTTTAATCTGCCGAGGTCACAAATTTTTATGCAGATCAAGAATAAGATGGATTTAAGGCGTCCTGGCCCAATGAAAACTGCTGCTGCTAGTCGAGACCACACCAGATATTGTGATTTTCATCAAGATCACGGCCATACTACAGAGCAGTGCAACAGCTTAAAGTCCGAACTGGAAAGTTTAGCTTAGAAGGGAATGCTAAATGAGTATGTTCAGAGAGCTGAACAATCGAGGTTTATCAGAGAACAGAGGCCACAGGCCCAAGGAGTCCGCAATCCCCCAAATAGGCAAGGTGTGGGATATCAGCAAACCCCACCTCCGCTCCCAACCCCAGCCAAAATCATACACATGATTACGGGAGGCCTTGAAGCAGGTGGAATGAGCTCTAAGCAGCGAAAGCTGTATGTCAGAGAGATTAAACATCAAAACCGGGCTCAGAAGCGGAAGATTGATGATGCTGAGTGGAAAAATCAACCCATTACTTTCACGTCTGCTGATCTCGATACAGTTGTTACACCCCACAATGATCCCTTGGTCACTTCTATCATGATTAATAACTGTGAAGTACACCGTGTCCTTGTTGACACCGGGAGTGCACCAGACATCATGTACTTCCACTGTTTCGAGAGTCTGGGACTGGATCCAGCACTGTTGTAGAAGTATGATGGTCCTATCTATGGCTTCAACAACCAGCCTGTTCCGGTAGAAGGAGTTCTTACCCTCCATGTGGCTTTTGGGAGTGGCAGGACCTATGTGACTCCTTCAGTCCGGTTCCTCATAGTCAAAATGGCATCCTCTTTCAACATCGTTATTGGCCGACCCACACTGACTGAAATCCGAGCTGTGGTTTCCCAGTCTCACCTCTGTATGAAGTTCCCAACTCCTATGGGCATAGCAACACTGCGAGGAAACCAGGAGGTGGCCAGACATTGTTATATCACCTCGGTAACACAACCTACGAAGGGCAAAGATCAGCCACCCGAGGCCATTCCCCAACGAATTTCTGATAATCAGCAAGTTATGGGCGTTGAAATCGTAGATAAT